GCAGCAACAACGCTACACATAAAAACTGATGATGGTGGAAAAATACACCGAAACGTGTTTTGATTGATAAATAGAGACAATAAATGACTGAAACCCAGGAATGAATTTGATTTGGACCTTGAGAGTATCATAAAAATGATCCAGAATCCTGATTTTTTTCCGCTGGGTAAATATCCGCCTGCAAATTGATGTTTTAACGTAACTACAGCCTCTTGTTTAAAAATTCGTATTTTCCAAATCGAAGCCGGTAGCAATTTGGAACTTTCACCATCTTTAGGAAATACGAGTCTCTATAGATCGTGAAAGTTTCATAAACAGTGACCGTAATTTGATTTTTGCCAGTTGAAAAAATTCCAGCCTCTAAATGGTGGTTTTCACCATAAGCTGCGCCCTCTCCTTTAAAAATTTGTATCTTCAAATCTAAAGCCAACAGTAACTTGAAATTTTCACCATCCTTAACTGACGCTTGCCTCTGAAGATTCTGAGAGTTTAGTCAAAATCGGAATTGATGCGGATTTTTGTCAGCTGAATAAATACCAGCCCCCAACTGGATGCCTTCATCAGCTGCGACCTGTTTTTTCAAAAATGCGCATCTTCTACACTAAAGACAGTGGCAATTTTTAATTTGCACCACCTTTCGAAGACTTTTGATTCTATAGGTGTAGAAACTACCCCCATAAAAATACCCCAAAATTCTGATTTTTCAGCTGAGTAACTACGAGGCTCAATGGATGATTCCAATTTCTCTCTTCTAAAATTTCGTGTCTTCGAAACTAAAATCAGCATTAAATTGAAATTTTTGCCATCGGTAGACCACACATTTGGCTTTACAGATGTAGAAACCCTCGGAAAGATATCGACTGTTAAAGATCGCGACTGCTCAAAAATCGATCGAAATGAGCAGAAAGCGTCGATTATTCCGGAGTTGAAGCTTTCGGCGCCTTTTCAATTAGCTCGTGCATTTCTCGCTTCATTCAGATGTAAAAGATGTAAAATTTGAGGCATTTTGAGACTTAATATATTTTTTAAAAATCGACCATCACTCCTAAGAAGCTCCTAATGTGCATAGGAAAAGTGTTGGGTCTTTAGTCAAGAAAATATCGTCGGCTCAA